ATCCACCTTCACAAACCGAGTCTCGGGGACAAGGCAGTTACGCCTGGATAGTTCGAGTCAAGTTCGACTGCGCGAGCTGACGGCCGTTGTCGATACGGAATTGGGAATGATTGTCCCGAGAAGTCGCGGCGCAGACAGCGCTTGGAGCGAGCCGAAAGACGGAAAGAACATCTTGAACGAATCTTCGTATATTTGACGGAACTTTCGTCCATTTGATAGCATAAGACGGCACAATAATATCTTTTTTCTGAGCTCAAGCCATCGAACATTAAGGGCGGGTTCTGTCTCCCTACTCAGTCACAAACGACCCTTGACCCAACTGCACAGCCATATCACAGCTATGAACACTGGAAAATGTCTTGTTGGTTCTCTCCTCTTTGCCCTAGCAACATGAAAGAAGCCAGACGGAGCCAGACTCCCTATCAGAACGGGTTGGCCGGCATGGGGCAGATTATACGGAGGCTGAGCCCCCTAGCCCTGCCAGCCGCTGCATATGTGTAACCATTCGGCTTGCCCGATTTTGCTAGTGTCTTCCACGAATGGCCTGACAACGTCAACGATACCCCGCTCTTCTACACCATAATCGTGGTATTGCAACCAGGAAGCTAGGGTCTCGGCTGCCCAGCATCAGCGTCTGCGGTGGCTGTCCCAGGCCTCGTATCGTCAACATGACCATCCCTCCTCCGTTTTCAGGCGGTGAGCAATCATGGGTACGATGCCTACGACTGGGTACGGGAGGGTTTGCGAAGTCGTGAGTATAAAAACCCAACTCTTTTCCCGTCCTTTCTGACCTCTACTATCATATACGATCTCCTTCCGCATTTCTTGAGCAACTATGCAAATCTTTTATCTCGTGGTCGCATTCATCCTAGCGGCTACCGCCATTGAATCAGCCGCCGTTGAACGCTCTGAATTCAAATGTGTATGTCGGCAATCCAGACACCACGTTATCTCGTACTAACGCTAGACTGAAAGTGTCTCGCTCTCCTGAAAGACGATGTACTTTCTGGAAAGGTTTTGACTCCGTGCAATGAGGATTTCCACCATCGCTTGGAGTCGTACTACTCCGCCAATGCGGCTGAGCCACCTCGCTGCATGGTGTTGCCTCAGACCGCTGAAGACGTCGCCAGGACCATCCAGATCATATCTGCTCGAAACTGTTCTTTTGGGATGAGAAGCGGGGCTCACTCGGCGTTTCGCGATTCGAACGGGCTCAAGGATGGCATCACAGTCGATTTCGGTGAGTATCGCCTCTTCATCTGGCATCAAAGCTCACATGAGATAGGCTACATGAACTCGACCGAATATGACCCGAGCACCGGCATCGCTTCCGTCCTTCCAGGCTCGAACTGGGGCGATGTATACTCCGCTCTGGATCCGTTTGGTGTCACGGCTATTGGAGGACGAGCTTCTGTCGTTGGGGTTGGGGGTTTTACTACGGGCGGTGGGGTGCGTATGCTCTGCCACTCTGCGTGCAAGACCGTCACGAGACGAGCAAAGACTGGTTTTTTCCCGACAGAAGAAGACTGATTCTCGACAGTACTCTTTCCACAGCAACAAGAGAGGATTCGCCTGCGACAATGTTGTCAACTTCCAGGTTGTTCTCGCCAATGGTTCCATTATCGACGCCAACGCGCACGAGAACTCTGGTCTCTGGAGAGCTCTCAAGGGGGGCTCGGGAAACTTTGGTTTCATCACACGGGTTGACGTCGGTACGTAGCGGATGATATCGTGACGTGATCCCACCTAACGAGGCGCATTGATGGCTGACCTTTCCACAGATGTCGTTCGTTCGACCCAGATATGGGGCGGGATCACAACATACGACCTGAGCAAGACAGGCGACGTGGTCGACGCTTACGTGAATTTCGTCAACAACATGGACGAGAACCCGGCCAGCCAGGCCATCGTGACTCTGCTGTATGGCCAGCAGGGGATGAGCCTTGTCGCAGTATTAACAAACAGTGACGCGAAAAGCACCGCGCCCGCTTTCCAAGAATTTGCCAGCATTGCCAACGTTTCAAGCACAGCTCGCGTCGGATCTGTCGCAGAGATGGTTCCTGAGTTCACCG